TAAAATTTAAATATTAACATTTATATTATAATTATATATATATATTTTAAATAATAATCATTATTTATTTATTTTTTTTCAGTAAAACCCTAAAAACCATCATTAAAATAAAAATAGTTTTATTGCTATATAATTTAAATTCTAATTTTACATACAGATTCTTTTTATAAATTTTATTTTGATTTTTAGGTAATATCATTTTTTGGAAAATAAAGATCAAAATAAGTGTGTGCAACCTTTTTTTAAAAATTTTTTTATTTTATTTAATTTTTATTTTATTATTTTTTTTCCGTTAAAATACACTTTTTTAAAAAAAAAAATAAAAAAAATTATTGTTTCAATTATTATAATAAATCACAATCAAAAATTATTCATTTATTTATTTAATTATATATTTATTTATTTAAAATTATAGAAATTCTTTTTAATGTAAATTTAAAAAAAAAAAAAATTTAGTTTTTATTATAAATTAATTTATTATTTGGTTTTATTTTTGTTTTTGCTGTTTGTATTATAATAATAAAAAAAATTTTACCCTTAATAATAATCATTTTTATTTTAAACCAAAGTGTTCTTATTTTATTGTACAGATTCAATTTTTGTGTTCAATAAAGGTTTTTTTTTCTTTTTTTTTTTTTATAATTTGTTATAATAATTATTATCATTTCATTTTAATATTTTCAATAATTTAATGAAAGTTTTAATTAATAAAGATTTTTATTATCCACCAACAATGTCAAAAATAAATAAAAATAAAATAAAAAAATAGTTTTTTAATTTTATAAAACATAAACAACAGTTTTAAATATATTGTACATTTTTTATGTTTTTATCAATTTTTTGTAATATTTTTTTTTTTTTAGTTATTTTAAAAAGGAAATGTGTAATTTTTAATTATTAGAAGATTATTTGTTTTCTCAACGGATCACGCTAATTTTAAAATCAAATATACAGTTATTATATATTCCATACCTTTTCATAAAGAAAAATAAAAACAACTAAATCAACACATCATCATTAATGTCAATCACAAAATTAACCATTTTTAATAAGTACACACCCACACATAAAACACACATTTAATTTATTTCTCGCACAAATAAAACTCATCATGGGTCGTTTGTGTGTTTGTATTTACACCACTACCTTATAGAAAAATTAATCAACAATATTCAAATTAGACAACATTCCAAATAATTAAAATAATGAAAAGCAATTTAAATGAAATATTCAATTATTTTTTGCTTTGTGGTTCTTTTAAAAAATTGGTTATTTGAAATAACAATCTTTTATACAAAATCCACACACCACATACATATACACACACACACTTACACACAGACATATACATCCTCACTTTAATTCAAAACAACACATTAAACATAATTGTACACCAAAAGGTACAGTACACTATAAAAAAAAAAAAAAAAAAAAATTAAAATTTCCATGTGTGTTGGGGTGTGATTGTTTTGAGATAAAATAAAACATAAAAAAAATAATAAAATAAAATTTTTTTTTAAAATAATAAAAATGACAACTATTTTTTTATTATTTTTTTTAATATTATTATTTTAAATTTTTTAAATCTATCTTTAACAAATAAAATAATTTAAAATAGATATATACAAAAACAAATAATCAATCAAAAAAAAAAAAAATTATTATGTGTTTTTTTTATCTAAAAATCTAAAGTGTGTATAAATTCAAAGAAAAAAATAAATTAAAATATTCAAATATAATTAATTAATTAATAATGTATTTATTCAAATCATTAGTAGTTATACAATAGCCTATCCATTTGTTTTTTTTTTTTTTGTTTTTGGAGGATTTTTAATCAATGTGATTTTTTTTTTTTTTGCGAGAAAAATATAGTTTTTTTTTATTTTATTTTATTTATTTTTTTTTTATTTTTTTTTTTATTTTTTAAAAAAAATTTTTATTTTATTTTTTTATTTTTTTTCTTTCCATCAATTTTTGTGATTAACCTATAAATTTTCCTTCTAACCTAATTTTTTTTTTTAAACATATAGAAAACATTTTTCATCCAACTTTCTATTTTATAATAAAATTGTAAATTTAAATGTTATAAAAAAATAAATAATATTAATAATAATATTAAATATAATATAATAACACCCACCACTCCCAACAAAAAATAAAAAAAAAAATAAATATAATTGTTTTTTTTTTTATTTTATTTTAATTTTTTATTTAAAAATATTTTAATAAAATATTTTATAAACTATAGTTTATAAATAATATATAGTAATAATAATAATTAAATAAATAATAAATAATAATAATTAATAATATAATATAAATAATAATGACGGATACATCAATTCATATTGAAAATCTCTCAGTTCAAGAAAAAGTTATGATACACATAGAAGATGTCAGTAGTGATATAAACGAAGAAGAGAATAGTAATAATGAGAAATCAGTAGAAGAGGAAGAGCAAATAAATAATTATGAAGATAGTAACAATAATAATAATAGTAATGTTGATAATAATAGTGATAAGCAAGGTGGACAAGATATTTCGACAACAACCACAACAACCACTACAACCACTACAGTAACTAAAGTTAAACCTCCAATGCCTCCAATTGAAAATAAACCTACTTATTTATCATCACAAAAGCCACAAGTCGAAGCAAGTTGGTCAGATTTAAAGAGTAAAATGAATCAAATGGATAAGTCAGATTTAAAACGTGGCTCAATTTTAATAGAGCACTTATCAGAATATAATAAATTGGCGTCATCTCAAGTGATACTAGGTGAAGAAGAAGTACAACCATCATCACCACATCAAACTGAAAATAATCACAATAAAAATAATAGTAGCAATAATAGTAAAAATAATATACCAGAAATTAATGAACCAATACCAATTATTAGTAGTACAATGAGTCAAGATGCAATTGATTCATTAGTAATGGCAGGTGTAAATTTATTTAATGAAAAACCTAAAAAAGGTGTTGACTATTTTATTCAAAATAAGTTTTTAGAAAAAACTCCAGAATCAGTCGCAGAATTTTTACACGAATGTCCATTATTAAATAAAAAATCGATTGGTGATTATTTAGGTGATATGTAAGTATCTTTATAACTGGGTATTATATAAATTATAGAATTACAAACTAACATATATTTTTTTTTTTTTAAAAATTTAGCGATCCATTTTGCATTTCAACATTAGAGTCATTAATTTCAAGATTTAATTTTAAGGACTTAGATTTTGATATGAGTTTAAGACAACTCTTATACTCATTTAGATTACCAGGAGAAGCACAAAAAATTGACAGAATAGTTCAAAGATTCGCAAATCAGTATTATAAAGATAACGTTCATATAGGTTTTGCAGATCCAGATACAGTTTATACATTAGCATTTGCAATTATATTATTAAATACCGATTCTCACAACCCAGTTGTCAAACCAACAATGACCAAACCAAAATTTGTAAAATCACTTTCAAAGATTAATGGTGGTAAAGATTTACCTTCAGAGTTTTTAGAAGATATATACGATAGAATATTAGTAGACGAAATTAAGATGAATCCATCTGGCACCCTATTCCCATATGCTGTTAAAAAGGGTTGGCTAAATATAAGGGTTAAAGGCAAGGTTACAGATAAATGGAGTAGAAAATGGTGTGTTCTTTCAGATGGTACTTTATACTTTTTTAGAAAACCAACAGATAGCTCTCCAGTACGTTATTTAAGACCAGATACTGTAATTACATCAAAGAAAGAAATTAAAGGAAAAAAGAATTGTTTTATACTTAACCACAGTTCTCCACCAATCACACTAGAAACTCTTTTAAAATCAAGTCAAAAGAATGGTGCTAATGGTAATAGTTTTAATCCTCAAGCTTTACTTCAACAATTGGCTCAATTTGGCAAGGAACAAAAGAAAGAGATACATTTTTGGGATAGTGCTGTCGATAGATTTGGAAGTGATAACCACAGAATTGATATTTTACAAGAGGTATTGGATACTGATAGTGTTAGCTCTTTAGATACTCTTTCTGAAACCTCATCAGCAACAAACTATTTTGAAGACGAACTTTCACCATCATCTTCAGTATCTTCAACATCACCAATGTCTTATGACCAAAATTATGACCCAACCAAAAAGGGTTACCTTCGTTCAAAGAATGGTAAAGATATGGATGTTGAAGGTAAATTAAAGAATCTTGGAAACGGAACCCAAACATTACACAGACCACCACCAACAAAACATACAAACTATAACCCAAATTTTAATACTATGCACCAAACCTCCACAAACTCCACATTACCACCATCACCATCACCATCCAACACTGCTACAGTTAGTAATGGTGCAGCTGTAAATCATTCATTAACACAACCAAGACCAAATTATTTTAAAACTGTTTCATCATCATCTTTAATTCGATCTTCAAGTATTTCAACATTTTCAACACCAAATTCTGTATCATCAAATTCAAATTCTTTAAATTCTTCCTCATCATCTGTAACAAGTAATAATACAACAACAACTCCAAATTCTATTAACTCACCCTCAAGTGGTATAGCATCATCTGCCTCATCAACTCCAAATTCTGTATCATCTACCTCATCATCATCATCACGTCCTCATACTCCACAACATAAATCTGAAAAAGATAAACAGTATGAGAAAAATTTAGAATCATTTTTAAAACTTCAAGAAAAAATGATAAAAGCATCAAAAAACACAAATACTTGTATTATAAACGCCGATAGTCAAAGAGAAATGAACTCTTGGATTCGATTAATTACCTCAAAAAAATAAAAAAATAACTATAAAAATATATTTTTTTTTTAAATAAATATATATAAAAAAAACAATATTTTCTAAATTGGTTATTTTTTTTTAACAATATAAATATATATATATAAAAAAAAAAAAAAACAATAATAATTAAATTATTAAATAAATAAAATAAATAATTTTTTTTTTTTCAATTAATTGGAGTTATGGTTTTTTTTTTTTTGTAAATCATAATTTACAAATTTGCTTTCATTTTTAATAATATAAAAAAATAAAATTTAAATTATAAAAAAAAAATTAATTATATTTAAATTTATTTATTTTCTTTTTAAAAAGTTGCCAATTTCCCCGCATTTGTTGCATTTAAAATTTTTTAAAATACAATCCGTTTCGATATGGCCTGTTTCATTACAGTATTTGCATTCATTTTCTATTTGACTAGCTTCAAATCTTTTTGGACAATAAAATTCCGTGTGACCTAGTTTATTACAATGACTGCATAAAAAGTTTCTTATATCTTTTTCTATGTGACCGCATTTACATTTTAGACTTTGGCAATTTATTGAAAAATGTCCCTTTTCATTACAATTATTACATATATTATCCATCTTGAATATAATTTAAAAATAAAAAAAATTATTTAAATATTGAATGTATGATTTATTATTTATGAGAAATTTCTTTTATATTAATAATTAAAAATTTAATAAATTATTTTCTATTGTTGAAAAATTTAAAATTAAAAAAAAAATTTAAAAAAAAAATTTTTTTATTTTTTTTATAAATTTTTTAATTAGTAAATTAATTAAAATAAAATTTTCTAATATTTTTCCAAAATCTACCTTTGGTAAAAATTATTTTAAAATTTAATTATCTTTTAATATTTTGATGATAATTTTTAAGAATTTGATTTGTTTTTTTTAAAGTTTTTATTGACCCATGGGATCGAAGAACAGAAAAAAAATTCCCGATTTAAAAAAGAAAAAAACCGTATAAAGTAGAAAATTTTATTTTCCATAAAAGAGCGCATGTGGTCTAGTGGTATGATGCATCCCTGCCACGGATGCGAACTGGGTTCGATTCCCAGCATGCGCATATAGGTTTTTCAAAACGAGGTTTCATCTTCCCGGTGTTTAAAGTTGATTTTTGCCTTTTTTAGCTAATCAAGGATAGATAAGCCGGGGGAACAATGATAGCCAAGTGGTCGAACGAATTTCCTACAAGTTACCGCTCCGGGTTCTAAAACCAGTTTCAGCTAGTTTTCAGAATCCCACATGAATTGGTGTTACCGTGCCCAACTTGTATGCAGTGGTAAAACTCAAACAAAAACAAAAGTACAATAAACAAACTGATGATACATTGTATCATTAAGAATCATCTTCACTTTTAAAAAAAAAAAATTGAGCTCTTAAGCTTGAAGACTTAAGTGATAACTTTTTTTCACTTTTAAAAAAATACTAAAGTTGGATATCAGCATGCACAAAATTTTTCAAAAAATAATTGATTAAATTGCAATTATATTACCTTTAAATTTCAATGACATTCAAATGATCTGAAACACTCAAATACCAGAACAATCAAAATAAAAAACAACATCTACTTGAAAAATGACAAATACCTTCGAGTATATGCCAAGTATATATCCAAACATTTATTTAACTAAATTCTCACCTCAAAATACATATCAATTTCTTTTATTTTTAAAATAATAAACAAAATTCTATCATTTATATTTGGATTTTTAAAAAATTTCATTGTATTAGATTTAAATAGGGATCAATAAAGTAACATTTTATAACCTTCACTTCTAAAAAAACTATAAAATATTATATTATTGAAAAAAAATTATATATTTAAAAAAGATAAATTGGAGCGGAAAAATAATATTATATATTATTTTTTTAGGATTTTATTTTGTTTTTTACAAGAATTTTATAATTTATAACTAATAAACTAACTCGAAATTTCATTTTCACTTGCACCACAAGGTTCGACTTTATTCTTTAAATTTTCGATTGAAGTACCTTCAAAATATATAATACCTTCTGTTTCAATTTCTTTAGGTTCACCTTGTTGATAAAGTGTTGTACTAATTTAAAAAAAAAAAACTATTAATATTTTATTTTTAAATTAGATAGCAATTAAAAAAAGATATTTACTTTGCATATTTATAAACCCATTGGTCACCAATTTTTTTAAATAATCTTGGTTCCCAAACAGTATCTTTTCTTTCTTTAACTCTTTTTCTTTGGTCATCCTCTAATTTATTTTTTTCTACAGTTGCATCTTTTTGATTTTTATTTAAAATTGCTTGGGTTACTTTTTGCCATAGTTTTTGTGATTCAAACTCTTCTTGTTGATTAATTGGTCTTATAATAGTTTTATTCTTTTTTACTGCGCTACAATCCCAGAGGATTTCACTTGAACCCTAATAAAAAATTGAAATAAAATCTATTAATATAAATATAACTTAAAAAAAAACAAAATCTAAATAATACCTTTTTTTTTGCTTGTGTAATTTCAATCTTTTTATCCCATTTACCAGTAAAGTTATGAGTTGTTTCATTATTTAATTTTATTTTACCAGATACAACATTATATTCACCTCTAAACATTGATTTTGCTTTAAATTCCATTTCGCTTGTTAAATTTGTTTTTTTGCATACTATGGTTGCAGGGCCTACGATTTCGGTTAATAGAGTACCAAATATAATACCTCTTGCACATGCAGTTGGGAATGTTATTACATATTCTTCCTGAAGTTCTAAGAGAGATAAAGTGATACTCCCATCAACAATGACCGCCATTGATGTGCCTAAAAATTTTGAACGTGGGTTAATAACACCACTCATTGTATAGCCATCATTTCTATTTGAGATATAAACACATGATACAGGTGGATGGTGAGATATTTGTTCTGCAACTAATATAGCTTGACTACTTGTATTTAATGTACCAGAATCATTACTACCACTACCGCTATTTATATTACTATTATTATGATTATCATTATTAGTATTATTATTGATTTTGTTTGCAGCATTGAATTCCCATTTTGAACGAAATATCTCTCCTAATATTGGGTTGTATGGTTTTTTTACTCCTTTGGGTCTAAAGTAGAAACCTGATAGGTACCATTTGGTGATTATTTGAATTCTTTCTAATGGTGTTGCCACTTTACATATACCACATAATATATCACCATGAATCATGTAATCTGTAAATTTCTCTAATAATGATCTTGGTTCCAAAATAAATGTTGGTAATGGTACTCTAGACAAATCGACACCAATCTTTAACTCTGATAATAAACTAATTAATAGGTTTTTTGGTTCCTCCTCTAAAATTTCTGTTGATTCTTCATTTTTTAAACTTGCACCATCATCATGTTCCTGTGGTTGTTCGTTTTGAATAATATGTTTTTCATTTTCTTCTAAAATATTATTATTAATTGTATCTTCCATTCTTTTTATAAAAAGTATTATTTACTATAATATAAAAATGAATTTAAAATGTATTAATATAAATATTCTTTTTCAATAAAAAAGGTAAACAAATATTTTTAATAATATAAACACAATTAAAAAAAAATTATAAAAAATTAATAAAAAAAAAAACAATAGAAATAAAGGAAAAAGAAAAAAAATCTTTTAAAAAAAAAATAGAATTTATTGTACTATATTTACAAAAATGATTTTTTATTATTATTATTATAAAAATTATTTTTATTATTTTTATATTATCGCTATTGTTATATATAAATTTATAAATAAAATTATTGTCTATTAATTCCAACCAACAATAAAAAAATATTAATATTATTAGTATTGTTTGAATTTAATCTTTTATATATATTAGTGATATCATATCAACACTATAACAAATAAAAAATTTAAGTTGTTTTTTTTTTTTTTTTTTTTTTAAAAAAAAAATAATAATAAATAAATAATTTAAAATTAAAATTTATAATAGGATATAGACAAAAGAAAAAATTGGAATATGTAGTATAAATGTGTACGGTTTAATTGATATCTTTTTTATTTGGAAACTACATTTTTTAAGTGAGTTTATGTGGTTATAGTTTGTTGTAGTAAAAGTAATATATTATTTATAAAATTTATATAATAATGAATATATATAACACAAAAAATAGAAAAAGGGAAAAAACATAGATTAGTGACTTACTAATTTTACATATAAAATAAAGTGTTAAAATTAAAAAAATAAAGTAAAATAAATTAAAAAGTGAATCTAATCTTTAATCTTTTCTTTTTTTTTTTATATTATTATTATATATAATTAAATAAATATTATTAATTAAAAATTATAATAATTTTGATTATATTAAAATATAAAAGTTTATTTTATATTATAAAAAAATACTTTTAATACATAAAAAAAAAAAAAAAATTTAAAAAAATTATAATGTTTATAATATTTATAATAGTGTTTGTCATATGTGTGAGTTTTTTTTTTATGTGTGTGTGTGGGTAAATTTCACTTTGAATTAAAATAATAATAATAATAATAAAAATAAAAATAAATAAAACATTTCTTTTTTTTTTTTTAATAAATTATATAGTGAGAGGGTTATTTTTATTTATTATAGTGGGGTAATTGTTGTTATCTTTTTTAATTTTTCTCCATATTAAATTATCTTATTATAGAATTTAATTTAAATTTAAATTAAAAAAAAACACAGATCAAAGGTTTTTTTTTACTTACCCTATATATATAAAATATAAGATATTATTTATTTGATGTAAAGATACTTAAAAAAAAACAATAAAAATGAATGAAAGAAACTTTAATATATAAAAATAAATAAAAAAAAAAATTAAAAAAAAAAAGTATATCTGGTTGTTTATTAACAATTATTTTTAATTGTATGAAAAGATATTAGTTTTTTTTTGATGATTTTTGATTGGATTTTAAATTTCAAATAATATTTTAGTTTTATTTTAAATCATTAATTTACAAATAAAAAAATATTTGTTTTGTTGATATATTAATATTGTGTGAGAAGAGAAAATTCTTAAAATAAACACACTAACGGTAAAAAAAAAAAAGATATCAAAAAAAAAATATTAAAAAAAAAATAAAAAAAGATTATATTTTTTTTTATTTTAATTTTTTTTAAACCGACAACTAGTCGATCTAGATAGTTCTTAATGTATAAAATGAATCTTGCAAAACTATAATTTAATGAACCACGTTTGATGATTTTTCGAAATCTCTTTTTTAAATAAATTATTTTTAAACCAACAATAATTCAGTTTTTTTTTTTTTTTTTTGCTGTTCAAATGGTGAATTATAATAGTTTTTATTAAAATTTTTTTTTTTTTTTTTTTTCTATATTTATTATTTATTATATTTTATTTCTTTTTTTTTGATGATGATTTTGGAGGTGAAGATAAATTTGGTTTTGGAGAAGAAGGTGAAGTTGCAGATTGGGTTGAAGAGGATGAAGAGAAACTACCAGCTAAAGTTTGATCGGTTTCATTTTTGTTATTTGATTCTTTTGGGGAAGATGACGACGAAGATGATGAGGACTTTTTAACAATTGGAATTGGCTGTGATTGAGTAGATGTAGTTGTAGTAGTAGTAGATGATCCACTGTTACTATTATTTTTATTATTTTTGCCAATATTATCTAAAGGTAGTTTAACTATATTATCGCTGTGATTTTCTATAATAATTGGTGGAGTAAATTTATTTTCTGTTTTAGCTAAAGCTGGATAAGAAGGAAAATCATCATCGTCATCCATACCCAAACCACCTAAGTTATTGTTGCTACCAAATTTACCTAAACTACTATTTGAGTCATTATATTTTAAACCTGCTGTTATTGGATTTGGAATTAAATCTTTTTCATCATCTTCATCGAATGAGAATGATCTATTTATATATAATGCATCTGTGTCAATTGGATTACTAAAGCTATTATTACTATTTATATATCCAGCAGGATGAGTATTATTAATAATAGTACCATTTAAAGTATTATTAAAATTATTAAAATTATTATTATTATTATTATTATTATTAATAGATAAAGGAGGACCTACTAAGCGACTATTATTACTACCACTATTACTACCAAAACTACCATTATGACTACTATTATTACTATTATTATTATTATTATTTATAGCTATTGGGACTGTTGTTGTTTTTGTAATTGGAGTTTTTATAGCTTCATTTAATTTTTCAATAATTTCTATATCATCTTCGTCTTTAATATTTACAAAATAATTATTATCAAATGATGTTGCTTTGTAGTCATCTAAGCTATTTGGAGAAGAACCTAAATAATTTAAACTGCCATCTTGAATTCTTGGTGATATATTTTTTCTTTTTTCAAATTTGATAGCCTCACCTGTTGGATAATCTTGATCAAAAAATGAAACTCCATTTACATTACTACTATTTGAGGATGAGGATTGGGCTGAAGATGGTTCACAGGATGATGATGATCTAAAAGTAAATTGAGGTACACCCCAAATAGCTCTAATATCTTGACTATGAGTAATAATTTCAACATTATAAAGCCATCTTGCTTCAGCATCGACCTTTAAAAGCTGTGATTGATTATTGTTATTTATTTGATCATTGAAATCTTCTAGGGTGTATGGAATTAAATGGGACTTGTATTCGGGTGACCTGGTTTTTCTGCAGACATCCCATTCAGCAACTGGGGTCAAAGAAAGACATAAGGTGTTTTCAGCCATCTCTGATGAGAGAGGAGGCTTTTGGGGTCTAAGCTCGTAGAGGATCAATTGTCCGGTTGGGCTAACAACAAAAAGTTTTTCGAGATTTTGAGAATTTGATTCAATAAAGCAGGCATTACCACCACACATATTACTGGTTACACTTGATTCTTCATTGTCATTTCCTAATTTAATACGGTCCATAGCATTGATAGTTAAAAGTGATGGAGTTAAATTAAGTACTGATGAATAATAATCATATGGTCTTTTTGTATTTGGACTACGGGTTATATGAGTATGAATATCTACCTCTCCACCGAGTGGGTTAATTGCAAATATATGGGTTGTGCCTCTAGAGGTTGTTAAGGCTACCCATTTACATGTTTCATTTGTAACGATTCCTTGAATTGAGGCATTGGTGATACCACGTTTTAAAATATAAATGTGTCTATATAATTGTTCATTGGGAATATTGCCACTATTGGCACTACTGCTATTTGAACCACCAACATTATTATTATTTACAATAACTATACTGTCTTTATTACTACAATCTTTACTACCAACACCACTATCTTTATTTGCGCTATGTACAATTGGTGATGAAATGTTTAATGAGTTGGTAAATGGTATAATTTGATAGGTGTTTACTTTTGTACCTTCAGTTGTGCTTGTGAATAAAATCGTACCAGTTGGGTCGAAAGCTAAATAAGATATTGGATGGCTATGTGGAGGTTTAATAAGAGTAACTACTTTTTTCTTTATAAAGTCATAAATTACAATTACACAATTTTCATTTGGCTTATCCTGTACCAATCCTAACTGTGGTTGAGCTAATTGATTTGAAAGTGAACTATCTTCAGGATATAAATAACTAGATACTTTCTTTCTGCCAATATCGCCAAAATAATAAAGTTTTTGTGCTACTTCTTTGGCTATATCCGATGCTACATCTACAGCAGTGTCACCAAATGTTTGATTTTGAGGTACCAATGAACGTGAATTTTGTTGTTGTTGTTGAAGATGATGCTGATGATTATAAAGGTGGTGTTGTGATTGTTGATGTTTTGATTCATAGTCAGTAAATGCTA